AATGATCACAAATTGAGGACTATGCAAAAATTTTAAACATTTGTTTAACCCATTTTTTTCAAATTTTTCATTTTCGCTATACTCCCTTATAACACAAACTACTTGTGAGTTAATGTAATGATGCAGTAGTTTGCACACTTTCTTCCATCTCCCTGCTTTGACATCTGTACATAGATTAGTCTTTTACCATCTCTAGGCCATACAATATTCTTTTGTATTAACTATGATAGAGATATATTGTCCTTCTGACAATCCAAGTAGTTTATAATAAAGTAGGAGAGCATCCTGCATAAAAATAGCATGTAAAATTAAGTATATACATACATTCATACATACATACATACATACAAATTGGTCATTGAAATATTAACCGTACAGATTTTTTTAGTATAAAATTAATCTAGTTAAATCTAGTTGAAATTTCTTATAAATTATATATTATTTTTCCATTGGTAGAAATTTGAGAATTAATTACAATAACTCATTATTCAATACTGCAGCTAAATACTGAAATCATGTTATATAAATACCATATGTTAGTCTTGGGAAAATGAAAGATGATTTATTGGGAGTTTAAAACTAAACCTCATATAATGATTCTCTCAGTAAAATTACATCTTTAAATTGTGTACTGTGAAAACTGACATTTTAATTAATAGCTGAAATGCTATGGAGGGAAAAGAAGCTATGGAGTATAAATTATCCTGACTATAGTTTTCTGATACTAATTATTTAAACAGAATTTCCAGATGCAATAAAAAAACAGAGTTTTGAACTCGTGTAAATTCCTTTTCAAGTCTCACAATGTTTTCCTGAATCTATAATCATGTTTTTTTTAAAATCAAAATTACCAGTCCACGTAAAAAGATTTCAATTAGTGCAGTGCTATATAACAGAGCCCTTGTAAATAAATGAAAAAAAGCTATAACTTGCAAAAAAAAAATTAGCAGCTTGTTAATGGGTGGCTAAAGAAAGGCCAATTCTAAAATTTCCCTTGAAAAATCTTGCATATTTTATGTTAGCTTCATATTAGAGAGATTATCTTTTATTTTTTACTTTCTCCTTTCATGCAAAGTACAAGTTCTTGTTCTTTTACCTCTACCAAGTGAGTGGTTAAAAGCTAAGTTGTGGTTTGTTTAAATTCTTTATTGCACATTATACAGCTCTTAAGGCAGCTTTCAAAATATAATAAATTAAATTTTATGCAGATAATAAATACATATTATAAAAATGAGCACAATTATAGGAATTATACATCTCTAAGTAGTAGAATGGAGGAGAAGAAAGGAATCAAGATAGTTTGTCTTATGCATCAGAAATTAAGGCAATATCTGATATGATTATCATAGTATTTTAAGTATGGAATGTCCTTTATATTATACTCCAAACAATATCAGCAGCAAGAGACTTATATGCAAGTTATCCAGGTTTCTTTGATCCAGTGGCAGCCATTCTGTTTTTAACTGTTTTTAGCTTAGGTGATAGAATGCAAAAAAAAAAAAAAAATTGTATAAACTTACCACAAACTCAAATACTAGGGTCAGTGTCTCTTTTGTATGAATGATATCATGAAGCAGCACAATATTAGCATGTTTTAGACCTTTCAGGAGAGATGCTGAAAGACAAAAGCAAAACCTATGAAAAAAGTATTCAATGCTTTTCTCCAAAAATGTTTTTAACACAGTAACATTTTGTAGATCTTCTAAAATTTGGAATCGTCCAGAGGCAGAATAGTGCAATTTCTCACCAACTATAAGAAAGAGGAGAAACTATGTTCTTCCTAGGTTATGTCTTCCAGAAACAATTGTATCAAAAAAATAAATGTAGCTATAGAACCAGTTCGCTACATTAAACTATTTACTCACTATTTTATAAAAAAATTCATAAAGGATCACTGTTTTAGTCCTGATATCATCAAAATTACATTAAGGGTCACAAGAAATATATTTTAACCTTGATCAAATAAATCAACTTTATATTCCTTCCTTTTTATTTCTAACAATTTTAATCTTTAATCAATTAAGAACTTGATTTATTTCCATTTTTGCTTTATCCTCTCTCATAAGATTCTTTAAAAATTTAACAAGATTCTTTTGTAAATTCAATATAGAAAAACTATCCTGGTTTATTGTTTTATATCCCTTTTAAAACATCACTACTTTCTTCTATGTTTGCAGTGTAGTATCTTTTTTGCAGGTCATCCAGTTTCAACCCAATCTTCATCTTATCAAGTAGAATTAGTAGAATTAGTTTCTTTTCCATAACATCTTTTAGATATAGTCTTTCAATAGAATGAAATGTCTCTATTGGCACTATTAAAATTAACTTGTGAGTTCATTGTTCAAAAATAATTGTAAGTCCAATGTATGCATACTCCCTTAATTGTAATCCTTAGTTCCATATAGTGTCTAATTATGTTTATTCAAAGCAAAGAATTTTTTCTATGAGAATGACCCTTTATAATTAATTCCAAAATCTTTTGGAGAAGGCTGCAAGCTGATTTAATCTATTTAATATTGCAAGACTTGTTAATAAAAATCAAATAATGTTTTCTTCAATAAAGAAATGAATAATGTGTTTGATTTATATGTTTATTTTTTATATAAACAAAACTTTATTTAGTTAGAAGACTTTTGTGGAAAACAGATCGTGCTTTAGGTTACACATATATACATAAGTATTGGAAATTCAAAAAGTTTCACAAACTTAAATCACCATTGTAAATAGTAAAATTATATTACATAAATACATTTGTGCAACTTGGTAGAAAATTAATAAATATGAGGAAAAGGATGCAAAAATGCCATGAAAGCATTTATGTGATAATGATGATCAAATGGTAATAGTCTGGATGGATTTAGTTGAAATATATGAATATCTGTTGAAAGAAGTATAATGATTGTATATAAAATGACCATTTTACATAAATTAGAATTGGGTAAATCAAGAAAAACAAAAAATAAATGTTATGCAACAAGAAGCGGTTACATAGAAAATATATGAGGTCAAACAAGAAGTGAAAGAATCAGCAATGAAATGGGTACCGAATGAATGAGGATTGGATACAAAAATGTATGTTCAGTCCTACAGAGCAAATGAATAAGGAACAAATCAGTAATCAAATATATGAAATGTAAGTAAAAGAAGAAAAAAGTTCCAGAAAGTTGTGATGAAACGAACTCAGATTCTCAGAAATCAGAAATTAAAAAACAGACAAGTAAACAAAATATAGTACTTGAATTTATGTAGAGATCTGGTAGAAGCATGATTTTCAAGGAGATACAGATTTGAAAGAAAGGTATTGGTAAACTAGATTTACCTAGCTTTCCTTTTTCTTAACCTCCTAGTTTTAATTTAATTATGTACTACCAATCACTCTTATTTGTAATGCTGTTTAATTCGAAGGTATCAGAATTATAGGAATATAAATGTAGACAATCTGACAACAATAAAAACATCTAAATAATCTTAAGTGAGTTGTCTGTCAACTAATTAATAGATTGGATAGTTTTAATCCACTTGCTGAAATGAGCTTGAGCCTTTGTCTCTGAACATCGATCTACAATACATAAAATGCATTTTCTAGGTATAAGAACAACTAATATAAAATAAATTATGAAGCAAAACTATTTTTTACTAATGAACAAAAACAACACAACATCCTATGGGTTAAAATAGAAATAAATAACTCTAACTATGCAATTCATGATAGATAATTCTTGCATATCAAGCAATTTACAATTTTGGAAACCATGGATATCTAAATAGCTCAATAACAACCCTCTGTAATGCTAGTGCCAGACTACCCTTATTTAGACATTCTTCCTACAAATAACAATTTAAGGAATTTAGAGAATGGAGAGCCTAAAAGAATATGCAGAATGAGACGTTTATTTATAGGCAAGAAAGCCATTTGTCTTAAAGAAATAGCCAATTAGGAAATACATGTATAGATCTGTATCTATAAAAGCATTTTAGTAAGGAAATAAATAATTTCCCCCTTTACAAATTTTAAAAAGCTAAGTATTCTTTCATTAATTAGCCCAAAATGTTATTAAAAATTTATTCTGCATATTTTTAAAGAGCCATTATAAATAATGATGAATAAAATATGTTTACAAATGGCACTAGAAATCAATACTTTATTTCTGCACAGAAATTTAGCTAAACTATTTGAAATTGCCAATATGCTAAAATTTTAGTTGTATAAATATCATTCTTACTGACTGCATGTTCCTAACCACACTTAAACATCTCAGAAATTTAATAATGTAAGGTAAAAATAAACCAGAAGATACGATTAAGTTATAAACCAAATAAACATAACCAGCACATCGATGTTGTTGAAAACCAGCAGTTATGGGTTAATGTGAAATAAGAACTCATACTAAGAATTTTATTAACAAGCTTATTATGTAAATGCTAATGTAACATGTTTTTTTTACTTGCAGCAAACATAAACAGATGGCTCTGTTTTAATTTAATTCCCCAATGAGTTTTGAGCAAGCACCCTAGCATATGATGCAATAGTCTAAAATTAAAATAAATGCTTTTGCTTATATTCAAGTTTGTTACTTATTCCAATGTCATACTATTTCAACAGTTAAAATCTAATGTTTGAAAAATGGAAGGAAATACATATAATTTCATTCTTTCTACTGAGCATCAGAAATGCTCTTTTTAACTATTCTTCAGGTTTAATCCCAAGTTTTGGTTTAATTGGATGTTATATTTATGTATTATTTATGTATTATTTTATTGAAACACAAATCAATTGAAGTTTTTTGGGTTGTTGTGATATATACTATTATAGATCTATATATTATATTCTATTTTATGGTAGTGACCTGCTATTATGTAACCACATTTTATGATGACTTTGTCTTCTAGTTTTTGGCAAAACTGCAACTGAACTGAACCATTGATTCACTTCAAGATTTGCTTGGTGACCACCAAATTCAATATGAGGACTATGAATATGATATATGATGTGATGTGATGTATGATAATAAGGTATAATAAAATATAATATGATATAAGATATATATCATTTTCAATTAAATTATAATCATGTTTATCTTCAACTAATTTAAGGTATACAGAGTTTCCTATACTGTATAACATAGCATTATAATTAGTATTAAAGAAGAAAGTCCTATGAATGGATTTATTTTATCATATATAAATACTTCTTCATTCCTGTAAGATAAAGGCATATAACCAACCCATTATCTACCTAATGTAGAGATCAGTACAACACAGAATGAATAGCTCCCGCAAGGAAATCCATACAATTAAAAAATGAAATCCTATTAAATCTAATATATGTGAATATTTTTAAATGCTATTTAATTTTTATTTCTGTTTTCATTTACACTATATTTTCCTGAAAGGAAGAAAATTCTGATTTTATGGCAATTTCCTTTTATGCAAGAAAGGCTACTGAATTAACAGAATTAACTGAATCATTCCTGAAGATGTTAGATCTGTCTAATGTGAAACATATCCCTGTTTAGATTATTGCAATGTGTAACTTTGTATACCTATAAACCACTGACTACTGAAAAATAAATAGGTGTTCTCTATGAGTATATAAGAAATCCTTCTCCCTGCCACCCTTCCCAGACCATAAGTATTTCTTTAATTGCTAAGCTTGTAATATTTAAAATTGATACCTGCAAGATAATATACTTCTAATTAAAAGAAAGTAGCAGTACTTTGAATATCCAATAGGTCATTTTAGCAGTAATTTATTTAGCAATAAATTACTTTAGTGAAAACCTAGTCTAGCCAGATTTGAAAATTCTCTTGAATTATAACTTTAGTCTGTATATGTATTTTATACACTAATCCATATTACCTAGAGTGGATCTACAAAACAGTACAGCTTTTTCTCAGTTTGATACTCTTCAATGTATTGGAAATCAGCTCATAAAATTCATAGCGAGATAGCCAACATTAAATGGCTAAATAATCTTGGTTGGAGCACTACTTCTTACACCCTCCTTCACACATTATTTTAAAGCGTAGCTCCTCTTTTAATGCAAGATTTTTCTTTCCTTATGTCCAGTAGCATCACTTAATAATTTGGATCATGCTGATCACATTGTTTATTTTTTTAAAGAAGTCAAATACTTATTACATTTCACATTATCTTTTTAAATGTTCTGTTTAGTACACTTTTTAGTGGCTTTAATTAATAAATAAACAATCATCCTCAAAACACTGCCAATTTAAAATTTTTCTGGATTTGGATTCTACTTCTCAGCAGCAGTTCTGTGAACAGAATATTCTTAATGTGAACTCCCACTGGTATTTCTACACCTCCACAATTGCATACATGCTGTCATGTATACCTGATACCACTTCCTATATAAGCCATCCACCCCACCTAAAACATTTTTATTTTATTTTATAATAACTCCCATATATTGGAGTGGTTTTGATTTTCAAGTAGCAATCCAACTTTTCCAAGGACTGTAACCATATAATTTGAGAAACATAAAGGTTCTTCAGAGTCAACAAGATATTGCAAATAAGATATCTGCTGTAATTACAAAAAGAAGGGAGATAAAATTGAGAGCAAAATAAAAAGCATACCTTCTCTGATAGCTGTAAATGGAGTACCTTCTTCTTCCTGAAGTCTTATTACTTTCAGTGCTACTAGCTTTCCATTTACTCTGGAATAAAAAGACCAAAACACAATTATCTCAGCACTTTAGACTTTTCTATTTGCAGTACACAGAGCTTCTTATGATTAAGACTTCGTTATCCTCCACAAAAACAGCACATTATCATTTTAAAACCATTTTTTAAAATGTAATCTTGGGTATTTATTCTAATTATACTGTCACATTTTATTTGATGGTTTAAACTTAAATGGACATTTATCATTTATTCCCAACCAAAATAGAAATAATGTCTACATAGGCTTTTATTGACCTCAGTATGCTTGTTTTCCAAACTACTGAATTAAGATGAAACAGATGTAGGAATTATAGTTGCTTTGTTGGTGCAATTAAACTAAGGCTCATGGTTCATCCTGACCGAGTTTAAAATGGCAACATCCATCAACATCCATTATTTATAATTTTTGTCATTTCCTGGGAATAGAATAAACATGCTTACTTCTTTTATGCTTGGTAATGTTTCAGAACATATTATTTTATTGTGGATTTTTTTCTGTTTTGCTTTTGTAACTTGCACTTAATGTTACCTGTTTTCAAAAAGTGCCAGGTATGGCTATTACATTCCTTTTGTACTTTTTGTACTTTTAGATTATTCATTGGTAAATAAGGCAAAACCAAAAGGATTGTTTTTATTTGTATTCATAATAATTTGTATTTTAAATAATTTTCACGGCATATGTCTATGCTTTGTGCCTATGCTGTTATTTCCTGTCTATATAACAGCCAGAAGCAGAAAATTGGGATCTTATGTGTTTAAAAGTCATGAATAAACCCAGAATATCCAGAAATACATCAGTAAAACAGTACCTAAAATTGAGTTGCTGACAGAATGTCTGGGGAAGCAACAGATACGGGAAGATCAAGAAGAGGCAGTGGCATGGCAAGATGGGATTTATGTACCATCAGCTGAGGTATCAGATATTGGGAAGTAGTATCAATGGCTGGAAAGGGCTAGACTGAAAGAGGCAATGATGATAGGAGGCCAAGAACACTGAGGTAATGATGATAGGAGGCCAAGAATAAGCACTAAGCACCAGATCCATAGAAGTAGGGGTTTGACCATACCAGCAGGACCCAAGGTAGAGATCGCATAGAGAGGCCTCAGAGACAGTTCAATAAATAGTGCTGGGTATAAGAAGAAGCAGGAATAGCATACAATGAAAGGCACATCCAAGTAAAATTATAATCTTAAATTATAAATTTTGTGTGTGTGTGTGTGTGTGTGTGTGTGTGTGTGTGTGTATGGTATTCGGCTTTGTTCGGGTATTTTCCCACGTCATTGTAGTTGTTCTTTTAAAGTTGTAGCAACGTTTCAGCAGAATCTCATCTGCCATCATCAGGCTTCTGTATTGTGTCCGTCTGTGAGTCAGACTTTTACAGTGGTTTCAGATTTAAATTTGGGGCAGCCTATTGCTGTGCCAGAATGGTTTTTTCTTCATCCTGATTGGTTGGGAGTC